AGACAACAGGGCCACATTCATCTCATTTTGGAGGATCACCGGAAAAGGCCCACTTGACAACACCCTTATCCTCTGAACCAATCTTAAAAGATTCAGATAGACCGTGTGATTTTTCATATAGCGAGGAAAGCATTTTCGACGACAACTGATCCCTGTGACTCTTTACCTCCGAAACAGGGACAACCATCGTCGGGAAAACATCCTTCATCACTTGATCTTTAACTAGGGCATTATCCTTGCCCACAGGTTAACCCCCACCCCCCCCCCCCCCCCCCCGTATAAATAATTAACTGGGGCATCATCCTTCAACGCAGTTTCCTTGGCCTGTGCAACATCATCAAATGACATGTATTCATGTCAAGAGTTTTTACAACAAATATATGTGCATTGAACAATATATAATAATGTTGCATATGTAATAAAATAACTTAGTACATACCATTGCAATCGAAGCCGGGTCAACGATATCATCATGTAGCTCTTGTGTCATGGCCAAAGAAAATAATTTCTCAACAGGGGTTAGAATTTTTTTCAGACGACTCCTAGTAGGTGTTTTGCTTCTTCATCGGGGGGGTTTCGTTGATTGGTTCAGATGGGCATTCAACATCCTTCGCAGCCTTGTGTGAAGTCCGATAAGGCTCATCCTTTGATGAAGGGTCCACAATATCTTTCTGAATACACAGATCAACATCTTTTGTCTCCTTATACTTCTCATCACGTTCCTCTCTTAGGATATGAGCCTCGTCCAATAACCTTGCGATTTCACTGTCGTACCATTTCTTACTCCTACTCATCTCTTTCGCTGGATCACTCTGAAAATGAATAAAATACGATGCGAAATTGGCAACATATTGAATGCATCATAATCGGCACACTAATACATTAGAACATATAATTGAAAAAAACATCATTAAAAGTATTGATGTATTACAACAACCTTTTGACGGGAAAGTTCGGATGGGCCCATAATCTTGCAAATCTTATCTACAGATAGGGTTCTTGAAGATGAGCACGTGAAAATCAGCCAACCAAATATATTTTGTCAACCATGTCAAAGAACATATGCTGCAAAAGTATTGGATAATATATAATATATCAATGCAAATGGCTTGGTGATCACAAAAGATAATAGTGAATATCAACAAAATAAGAAACTTACTATGAGAGCATGCATGTCGCCACTAGGTCTCGCACTTTTCATGTCATTTGCAAGCATCTTTTCACGGGTAGCCTTTATCCCCGCAATCAACTTGTCCTTGAAAAACCCGGCCCAGTTGTACTCGTTCGCTATTTTCTTGGTTTTAAGAAATTCAAAGTAGCAAAACACTTATTTGGGCATTTGAGTCAGCAACTAAAAATGAGAAAATACAATACATAACATAGACTCTCTAAAAGTCTACCTTCCTCACAAATTATTCACCTTTCAGTAAATTTTTCAAATCACTATCTTTTATTGGTTTCACATAATCTCATATTAATCCATACTCCTTAGCAAACTCGTCTGCGTATCCATAATAATAATCTCATTCCGCCAACGATATAGGGGCCCTATCACAACTGTGTGGAAAACTATACATCCTACCAAAGTCCTCATCTTTCAAAACCCACTTATCCCCACTAGAAAACACAAAGCATTTGCGATCGACATCCCAAAAACTAATTAACTTTAAAATTGGATCTATACACATGGGCATCGAATTAACAAAAATGAGACCTCTAAAGCATGTTCCCCTTATGAAATACTTTAAGGATTTTCCACTAGCATGAAATAGCTTCCCATTGTTGAAGTCAAAAATATTCTTGGGGACACACAAAACCTGTATAAACTTACTTCTCTTTGGCCTAGACTTCATCGAGGGCTCCAAAACGAGATTTTTTGTTTTAGTCATTGACCATGGCGGCGGGTGTGTGGAGAGGGGATTGACTAGGTTGGGTGGCTGGAACTCGTGACTGAGGGTTTTGATCCAACGGGATTGTTGATTAGGTTTTCTGAGAGGAAGACGGGAGGCGAACGATAGCGGGGGTGAGTGTTTTCCGACGGCGGAGCATGGTTGACAGCGGCGACGTCCGCGTATGAGGATTTGCATATCTTTTAGAACGAAGGAATAGGGTTTGCATTATTTGAGAGGATGAAGGGACGCGAACTACTAATGCGGAGTGTCGGCAGCGGAGTGTTGCCGACGGTGGCAATGCGTGGTCGACGGTGACAACTTGGCTGAAAGTAGCGACGGAGTGAATCGTGCGAGGGTTAAGGCTTGGTGAAATTTGGGTGAATGGGTGGGATTACTTTGTCGGTAGTGGTGGTAAATTATATTAATCAATTAAAATATTAACTTATAAATATATTGCTTAAACATCATATCCTATTACTGTATATATCATATTATATATGTATAACTATATTTTCATTAAATAGTTGTATATTGTTAATTATGGAATATTACTTTAATTAAGGATTATTATACAAATAACACATAGAAAAATCATATTATAAATGTTTGATTTCCAAATATAATTCTGTTAATTGAGGTAAAAATTTATTCATGAGTAGATTTGGAATTTTTAGAAACACATGAGTCAAACTTGTCTGGAATAATGAATATTACGTTTGTTGAAAAAATTGCATCATATTGCGAATTTGCGAACATAAAACTATATAGTGCATATTGCCTCTATTTTTCTTAGACATCGTTCGATTGGTGTTATGACAACATATGTCAACTGTACGTACATCATAATGTGTTTCAAAAATTTTTTATTTGGAAATAGTTTAATTGCATACATTTTTAATTTATTTGGATTAATTTTATTAATTATAACGTAACTATTTAATATAATTAACTATTTATTAATTAATTAACATATAATTATCTTCTTCCAAAATTCCTACAATACCATCATTGAATAACAACCATTAGATTTGATCTGACGGTTGCGATAGGTTCAAGAGGATCCTGAATCTTATATAGGATCAGGAGGATACCAATAGCTCTTTCAAAATTATCGGTACTTTTTCTGAGCCCACGTATTTTAATTATTGATTATATAATGTTCGTTGTACATTTGATATCCGATCAATTTGAACACTAAAGCTTTCAGACGTGCATGCATTTAGGAATTCAGTTGTCTAATATAGGATATTATATTGAGTTTATTTATTTTGTATTTTTAGATCAATTTATTTTTATAATAAATAAGGAGAATTGTGTTAGTAATATAAAAATAATATTTTGTATTGAATTGATAATTTTTTTGTAAGTTGATAAAGTATATTATATATATTATATTAATGTGTGTGTATTTTTTATTTTTTAATAATATTTATGAACAATCGTTTTATTTGAAAATGCTAAGTAAATAAACTCATGATCTTTCCAATATTATGATGGCCGGAGCCATTAGTTTTTGATGTAATGTTTTGAATGTAAAATTAATTTTTACTATAATATAATAATAAAAAATTAATATTTAATTTGATATTTTTTGCGAAAAAAAAATTGGTTAATAGTGAAAATATGTAGGAATTCTTGGAACAAACACACCCTAATATATTTATTTGTTTACATTTTTTTTTTTTTGAAATTTTAATTATTTTAATTGAAATAATTATTGTATATTTTATTATAAACGAATTATTATATGTCTGTTTAAAAAAATTGAATATATTTTTTTACTTTTTTAATTATCATTCAATTTGTTTAATTTTATATATCTAAAAGTTGTTCCCATATGAACATTAATGTAATGGTGTTGAAGTGAGCTAAAAGTTATACTCGTCTTTTTATAAATATAGAATTGCTATATCATTATATAAAATACATTTATTTTTGTGCTTTGCTTCGCTTCAAAGTTGGTTGGTTTAAGCATAAGTGCAATTAATTACTAATGATTTGTTTTTAAATTTGTTATTTCAATAGGAGCACTTATAAGTTATAACCATGCATCATTTAACCTTAATTTATAATAGTGTGCTTGTTTTGTATGTCATATAAATATATAAATATATATATATATTGTATAATAACATAAATATTGTATATAATGATACTTAAATATATATAACTAGAAATCAAATATCTATGCTTAATTATTTAACCCCGGTGTGTTTGTTTGGCTAATTTAATTTGTTTTCTACTATTGATATGTTATTTTTTTCAATAATATCAAATTAAATAATTTAATTTTATTCATTTATTATATTAAAAATTAATTTTACATTAAAATTAATAATTTATTTTTAATTATATCACGTCAAATAATTATTTAAATTTAAAATTTCTTACTATTTGAATTAAAATTTAAAATCAAATCACCCCAGCTAACACTGTATATATATATATATGTTCTTCCAACTCACCTAAAAAGGCTTCTTGATATCTAATTTCCTTCCAAACAACACATGGCTGACCAACAAATCAATGAAGTTGAACAATACGAAATCCTACAACATACGTACATACATACATATACATACACTACTACACCATATCCATGTTTATACATATGTATAGCTATGTATATATATAGTCAATTAAGTGAAATATGTTTATAATTATAGTCTCAATTGACCTAACTAACTGCTCATAATCTGTAGATCCCTTTTCTTACAAAAAAAGATAATAGATATTATATCGTACTATAGAGGAGGGGGTCCGAAGTCCAAACTAATTTCACCAATATTAATTCCTCTCTCAATCTCTCTCTGATGAAACACACACATATATATATATATATATGTGTGTGTGTCACCCACTCTCTTCACTGTGTGATCTCTCTCTACAATTCAATTATTAGCAACCCAACCTAACCCAACCCAACCCAACCCAACCCAGCCCTGCAACAATGTATGTATGTATGTATGTATTAGAGCAGATGGATTCGTAATTATCCATACCCGACCCACACAGCCAACCACCCCACCCCACCCCACCCCAGATGGATTAAATAAAGAAGCAGAGTTTGGCGGTGTTTGGTATATTGAATTGATAGTTAATGTATAGGCATGGAGTTGGATTTCATTGCTTCGTTCTCGATCAAACACTAGCTAGGTATAGCTAGATATATAGCTAACTGATTCCAATCTAATAGAACTCAGCATCATATTATTTTATATTATATATATATATATAATCGGAGAATGCGATACATCCAGACGCCTCGTAGCCTGAAGAGGCTCTTCTCCCTCAGGCGGCGGCCCAACAGCAGTTTCAGTCGCGACGACGATCATCAAGACAACTTGGGAAAGCCCAAAGAACCACCACCATCTGCTGCTGCTTTCCAGAAGCCCACGTGGAAATGCTTTTCCTACGACCAGATCTCCGCCGCCACTGCCGGTTTTTCCTCAGGTCGTAGAAGTCCTCTATTAATACATAGATCTGTTCGTGGGAGAGAGATCTGAGACATATATAAGTATATATATATATATATGTATATGCAGATAATTTGGTGGGACGAGGAGGATATGCGGAAGTGTACAGAGGAGTGCTCGAAGACGGGGAGGCCATTGCAGTGAAGAGAGTGAGGAGCCACGATGATGATGATAATTACGATGAGAGGAAAGAGAAAGAGTTCTTGTCGGAGATTGGGACCTTAGGACATGTTTCCCACCCGAATGTTACGCCGCTCCTCGGCTGCTGCATCGACAACGGCCTTTATCTCGTCTTCCGCTTCTCCTCCAGGGGCTCTGTGGCTTCCATTCTCCATGATCAGAAAGTTAACGTATTGGACTGGAGAAGGAGGTACAAGATTGCCGTGGGGACTGCGAGGGGCCTTCATTACTTACACAACAACTGTCCCAGGAGAATTATCCATCGAGACATCAAGGCTTCCAACGTTTTGTTGGCTGCTGATTTTGAGCCCCAGGTACGATTATATAATCTAAATTCATTTATTTAATCTTTGTGTGTATGTATATTGTACATATTTTCTTGTTTCAGATATCAGACTTTGGATTGGCTAAATGGCTTCCCTCACAATGGAGCCATCGTTCAATCGCTCCTATTGAAGGAACATTCGGGTATGTATGCAAACAGTGTCGGATCCAGAAATTTTTTAATATATATAGTATATAATAATTTTAAAATTATATATAATATAATGAAAAAATTTTAAAAATTATAAATAAATTTTTAGTTTGTTTTATCTGATTTTTTTTCAAATATTTCTAAATATATGGAGTATTTGAATCAATTTTTTTGAAATATTTGAGTTAAATATTAATAATAATATTTTTATTAAATTTATAGAGATGGCCAATTATTTAAATTTTAAAACTTATACATAATAAAAATACAAAATTCAAATAATTAGAAGGTCAAACAGCCTTTAGCCCCTACTAACTTCGCCCCTGTATGCAAATGCAATATATATGTATATATATATCTCGTTTCTTGCAACCTAATACCAAAACATGGATCGATCGAAGAGTAGTCTTAATAATTAATTTGGTTGCATTCATGCATTAAACAGGCACTTAGCGCCCGAGTATTTCATGCACGGAGTGGTCGACGAGAAGACGGATGTCTTCGCATTTGGCGTCTTCTTACTAGAGCTTCTTTCTGGAAAGAAGCCGGTGGATAATTCTCACCAAAGTTTGCATAGTTGGGTAATTCCCATGTCTTATTTGATTATCTATCTATGTCAATCAACATCAATGCAATGAATTAGACAATGTATGTTATTTATTTCTGACATATATAGCTAATTATTAAATTGTTGGATGGACATTGGACAGGCGAAACCTATACTTGTCCGCGGAGATGTGAGAGAACTGATCGATCCGAGACTCGGGGAGGACTACGATGTGGTGCAGCTCAACCGGGTTGCGTTTGCTGCCTTGTTGTGCATCCGATCTTCCCCGATCTCGCGCCCGACTATGACCGAGGTTAATTATATTTATATATATATATCATCACTTGCCTAGCTAATTGTCTTGTTATTACAGCTAACATGATTTTTCTTAAAATTCAAAGTGTTGAGGGTATGTACGTAGGTGATACCATTTTTGTCTTCACCTAAACTTAGGCCAACTGACTGAATTCGGCGATGGCGACGTCCCGATCAACTCGGCACGCTCGTTAAGTTAATTAATTAATTACCGTACCCACAACTAACTCTTTCAATTAAGTAGTTTCATTAATGTAGATGGATGATGCATGGATCGGATCATAAGTTTATTTAGTTAATAGGTAACTGTCGCTATTAGGGACTTAAATATGTTTACTTACACAGAGGAACGACACCTGTTTACATAGGATTCTTGCTCGTGTAATAACCACATGCATGTAATTGAACCACCCTTTGATCCGACGACATGTGCGCGCGGGAATAAAGTACGCACGCTGGATGTTGCCAAAACAAGGGTCGTCTAAGATTCCTTAAAATAATCAAATGCTATATATTATAATAAAATGAATTGATTTATGTTGTGACAGGTGTTGGAGGTGTTGTCAATGGAGGGAGAAATGGACACGGAAAAGTGGGAGATGCCCGAGGAAGAGGAAGGACGAGAAGAAGACGAGGACCATCAACATTGGGGGTTGGAAGATCTTGGATTTGAATGTGAATTTCAATTTGACTTTGAATTTGAATTTGAATTTGGAGATGATGAAAATGAGTCGTCATCGACGTTGCTGGACTCGCCTCGCGATTCTTTCTCCACGGGACGTTCAACTATCCGAAATACATAACCAGTTATATATGCCCTCACTTGAACCATTAGATGACAACACCCAACAGCACCCACAGAGTGTATATATATATATATATATGTGTGTGTGTAAATATGAATGTTTTGTTCTTCCAATAAAATGTACTGGTCTCCGCTGCCTTGCGGGTGATACTACTATAGGTGTTTGGAAGACGTTGTTGGCGTTCTTTCAGAGTATTTTAAATTTTATGAAATTTTTGTTGTTAATTATTGCCAAATATAAAAGTATTTTAAAAATCGTGAGATCATCTAAACTAAATTATTTTTTATTATATTTTAAATACTTTCTAAAATAAAATTGTAATTAACTTTGAAAAGTTAACATATTACAAGTAAAATTTGAATTTACATTGAAACATTATTTTTTGGCCTAAAGTTATATTCTTCTAAATTTGAAAAAAAACGTTACAAAAATAAAGAAATAATAGGTGATCCTAAAAGGCAAATTTCTTTGAATTTTGCTATGTTAAATTGAAGATGACCGGAATCATGCACTTCTTGGTTCTTTATATATGAATATCAGTCAACTTTGAAACTTCTGAAATACAAATGAATTTCATGCAATAATTATAACATCAATTGTTCTGTATATTTTTACTAAAACACTAGCGTATTATATAATTTATTGTTGTTTTGAATAACAGCATATCATCTATCCTAGCAATAGTTGTGTGTTTGCATATATATATATATTACTTCTCTTGACTTTGCCGTTCATATAGCAACAGGCTAACAATTTTCTCTTGGTACTATTTTGTTTGCCCATGTATATGATAAACTTAATAAAAATAATTCCACACTTATCAAATATAAAATCAAACACTTCATCTTTGGGCTTTTTCTAGTTTTTAAAATTATGGTTTAGATTGTATTTAAGTAAGGCCTTTTCTGGTCTCCCCTCCAACTTTTTTGATCCATCCCATTTGTTGGGTCTTCTAGAAAGGTAATGAATCGTCCAGTTTTATATACTATTCTGTCTATTTTGGAGGACTAGATATCAAATCATGAAATTTTTTTGTATAAGCTATATCGAGTATATTTTCGTGATCTCCTATAGTTCAATCCATTAGAAACATATCCGTACAATGAACCAATATCATCACCCCTACATTCCACCCATCTTTGTTCTTGGAATTCTATCTTGAGACCTCGACGCCTTTTTCTTTGGAGAGGATTGATCATACCCAAAATTTCTTCTAATACATTTTCCTACATGCCTCTCACCTTCTCACTCAACAATTGGGATATAGTCAGAGCATCCCTCTGTCACTATCATTTTTGTACTACCTAACTTGTGATCCGAATAGGCATGCTGATCCAAGCTCTATTTAATCATACTATTCATGAATTGCCTAGTTACATTGTAAATAAAGTAAAATTATTTATAATTTACTTGTAGTTTGATAAGCCTGCACCATTCTCTCCCGTGATTTAAAAATTGCATAAGACTATCTCTGTTATAAAAAATATTACACAAAATTTCTTAGACATTATGCAAGACTCCTTTGGATTTTAAAAAATTTCACACAAAAAATATCCAAGAAAAAGAATCATGCATTATGTTTTGTAAACTACGCAGGAGTTATGCCATTTCTAAATTACAAATGAGAGTCGTGTAATTTTCAAAACACGGGTAGGTTATAAGTAATTTTGTCTTATGTCCATACATTCTTTCATTATGAATCTTTCTCAGTTTCTGACTGGTGAACTGGCATCTTTTGGCTATCCAGTAGAGAAATATGCCTCTTTTTTTTATGTAATGATTACAGTAGCTTATTTGGGTGGCTGGCACCACTCATGACACGAGTCACGTGCCTAGCTCTTCATCACATTTATATTTCTACACTTAGATAGATAGAGTAAATTGCAAAAAATATCCCACACTTATACCCTATTATCACTTTTGTCCTGTATTTATCTCCCTGGCAAAATATATCTCACATGTTTACAAAAGTCGTTATTTATGTCCTTTTCTCGCGCGTGAAATTCACACCACACGCCCTTACGCGCAATCACGCGCGGCCACGCGCGGTCAAAGGATAGAAATAGCGACTTTTGAAAACATGTGGGATATATTTTGCCAGAGAGATAAATACAGGACAAAAGTGATAATGAGGTAAACGTGTGGGATATTTTTTGCAATTTTCCCTAGATAGATATACTGTTTTAGTGATATATTAAAAATAATCACTTCCTTTAGTATTTAGTAAGAAGATGTTATTATTCTCCATTTCAAGATGTTCCATGGTTAATATATATATATAAGATAACCACTTTGTGGATGGCATAGTGAGAACCTCGAGTGTAGATAAAAGTTGATTAATTTGATTTTGTTAGATAACACATAAATGACTGATTTAAGTAGACTAAAATAGTGTCAAAGAAAGTGACCCTTATTGCACAATTTAACTTCAAATTTGTAGCATAAATATTAGAAACATGCTAATTACTTGTTCTTCAATTGCAGGTGATCAGATCTGATATATCATACACTTAATAATAATCACAGAAATAAGATTTTAGATCAAATAACTAAGTCTTTATTTTGATGCATCAACAAATATATCTTCACTATTTAACTATTTTACTTCAGCTACAAACTGTGAAACATCGTTCACCATCTTTTGCCACTATGTAAATCCAATTATCATAGGAAATTCACCATGATTCACACCATTCAAGCTTTGCCATTATTCTATTTTTAATTTAGTTTCCATAGTGTAAATTCAATTGTAATAAGTAATTGTTTCATTTAACAATTTTAATAGACTCGTGTGCACTATTATTTACATTTTTTCACAATATTAAATTATGTGAAACTATTTTGTACCTATAACACAACAATATCTTTGACTTGTAATAATAATAAAAAATATATATATATTTTACAAACTGCAGTTCATCCAAAATTTGGTGTAATTCCTAGGGCCTATAAAAGGAGTGAACTATGTTATACCAATAAAAAATAATCCACCACAAGAATTTCATAGAAGGAGACAAGGGTTTGCCCTAGAAGTCTAGATTGCGCATTTTCCCGTGAAAACTAAATTTTTGATTGTTTTCCATTGAGTAGTCAAAAAAGTGCTACATAGTGGACCGGTGTTAATTTATGACCCCAAATCATCACATGACCATGATGGATTTTTTTTTTTTTTTCATTGAGATGCAATTAATATTTTATCTTGAAGAATTTTTTATTCTTTGTGATTCATGATTATAACAACTCACACTAGTTGATGAATTATTTTTTGAAGAATTATTTTACTTTTTATTTAAGTCCAGTTGTGAGGTGGATTGGATATAAAATTAATATTTTATTGTAGTTCAAACATTTTTATCAAATAATAAAATTTTCTCATATTAACTGATAAGTTCCAGGTAGAACTTAGGCATTATTTTGAGGGAAAATATTTAGTTGAATAATATTGCAAGCTTATGATATCGGAATTGAGCTTAAATTTCATTAAAATGCAAAGACTTAAAGCTATAAAGAATTTAAATGTGAAATAGGTATGATGTGAGAAAAGTGAAATGAAGAGTGATCGCGTCTTATAAGCAATTCACATTTCTATGGTAGTGATGAATAGAATAGTAATAGTGTTCGCGTGTGGTGTTAACATATAATGATACGGTATGGAGATAGATGAGGGATGAATGAGGTGCAGGTATGTATGTGTTATATGTATACACTTCGTGCGGTAGAATGTTGCATGAAGATGACTATACAAGATTTATGTCCGTTGGTCGCTTCGCGTGATCAAAGGTTCGTTTAGCCTGAAGATAATTGCGGAAAGACATACGAACTCCTTATTTATCTTGTTTATTATTCATTTATGAAGTCATTATTAAAGGTCCTGCGAGTTGTTCTCTTAGACACTCGTGAAAATTTAATCAGGATACTAGTTCGCCTCCTACCTACAACTAATTATTTTAAGTCAAATTATGTTTAAAGAATCGATTTTGCGATAGATCCTGGATCGACTTAATAGTGTGGAATCCTCTTGGAACCTCTTAGCTAGTTTCAAATAATTGATTTGTATTTATTTTTTTACCAGAGTTTATGCAATTCTCATTGCGAAAAAGTGTTCTTATATTGGTGTCAACTATGAATGATAGTGCCATGAAGAAGTATGATATTTCATTACATGAGAATTTAAGTTTGCGTTTACATTATGAATTTGAATATTGCAATTATTTTACAAAAACTGTAAATTTATCTAAGTACAAAAAGTAAATAAGATGGGTGCTGAGAATGTGACTTATGTCACTAGTGCTACCAGCCACCCGAATTAAACTTTTGGAGGAGCTCTTTATATCTTGAGCTCTCCTAAATTGTTTGTAATTTTTTTAGAACATAATTGTTATCAATGAGCTCGTCTGGACCACTATTTATAGGCACATGCCAGAGCTTCTAGAATGATGGCGATTATATTTTCCAATTATTACAACGCTCCTCAACCATTCATTTCCTCATATGCTAATTTGAATGGTCATGATTCATCCTTACGCGGATCAAGATTCAGAATTCAAACATGAATTCTAAGTTTCTTTATATCAACAAAAACTTACTTGTTCTTTCAGGTGATTTGAAATCACACGACATTGTCAAACTTTTTCTTTCTTCACGCAAAGCCATTTTTCTCGTTCTAAACCTCCAGAACACGACTAAAACACTTTAAAATACCAAAGCATATCAAATGATACAAATGAGGTCAAAATACTTTGGCTTAATCAAGCATATATTTAATCCAAAATTATGATAAATTTTTTATAGAAATCATCAACAAAATATGCTCGAAATCAGTATTATCAGGTTTCTTCACGCTATTCTTTGTTTGTCCTCAAACAAATTCAATCAAAAGTCTACCAAAAAAATATTCATGCCAGTACATAATCTCCCAGGAAAGCATCACGATGGTGCTAGGAAGAATCTCACAAAATCAAACACGGTCCTAACGTTTCTATACGGACTCTTGTTTAGCTTGGTGGTAGCAGTCTGTTTTTTTTCAAATTGCGTTTTGAATGATAATACTTTTGTTTTAACACTGATGTCTATTTTTTTCTTTTCTTTTATTTGATAGCTCATTATATTTTTGCGATTGATTGTAGTGCAATATTGTGTATTTCTCACAATTTGGTTGCTTCTATTTTTAACC